AAATGCGTGGTTTTCACCCCTCGGTTCCTCCTTCTCAACCAGCTCTCGACGTCGCTTGCGCTGTACGATGGACTGCACCGCCTCAACACCGTGCTGCCACCGCACGACATGCAGCCGTTCATTGGGCACTTGAAGCTGCCCGTGCGGCGGCGACACCGCGCGCGAGTCCAGTACTTGTCGACGCAACGGATCCACGAAAGCTCGGGAAAGTTCAGCCTCGACGTCGTTGGGCCCACCGATTTGAGTCTAGTCGCCAACACGAACAAGACCCCCAACGCAACCACGGCACGAGGTACACCTGGCGCTGTGGGTCGTCCTCTGAGCCGATGTCATGCCCTTGTTGATGGCAGGGAATCCGCCGTCGACGAAAGCGCCGATGATGGTGGACCACACCCATGCCCCGCTCGACGTCGTGCGCGTACACACGAGAATGTGTGGACCAACATTTGTGTCGGTCGTACGAGCCGTCACACGGGTGGACGAGGTGGCGTACCGCCTCGATAACGAGACGGCATCGCATGTGCTGTACTACCGCCAAGTGGGCGTCGATAGCCCAACGAACGGATGGAAGGAGCTGGGGCCTGGCAAATCCACCGTGTACGTGTGGGCGGAGCCTTTGGCCCTCCATCAGGTACGGCCGTGGTCTCACGATGTAGTCCAATTGAACGTTGTATCCATTTCCATAGCTGTCCATTTGCTTGCGCCACGAAGACGCGGCGGCGCGGCCGTCGCAACGGCAGCTCTGGACCACCCGTGCCACGAAACTCAACGGGCTTCTCTTGGCTCCACGAAAACAAAGCACGGGCATCGAGTTGAAAGGAATGGGCAGTGGTAGTGGGGGGGGGCGATGGGCCACGCCACCACCTACGTCGGCCAAACCCCAATCGTCTGCGGGCGCGCAACCACCGACTTCCCAGTATGTCCATCATGCCAAACAGTTTGGCTATGCATCGTCGTTGCTGTCGGAGCGGAAAGGTCTGGGCTTGGACGACGTTGAGGCCATCCATTTGGATGTGATCGGGCTCCAAATGGCGCTGGTCCGGCCGACCACCACGGCATCCACCGCGACATCGCTTGGCGGTGCTTCCTCTGGCAACTCCACCCACTCGACGACGCCACAAGGCGCCGAGACTACGAAACTCGTGAACCATACTCTCTTAGCTCCGTCGGACCTCCTCTCCAAGCCGTTCCTGCAAAAACCAAAGCGCCACACGAGCTACGCGCGCATTGAGAACGACGGCGTCACGCGGGTGTTGCGCGTGCGGGACACGACCGGTCTCGACGACGAGAAAGCTAGATTTGTCAAGGAAGAAGCGCGGGTCCAGCGGTTGCTGTTTCACCTGCTCGCGCTGCAATGCGGGTCAGCGTTTGCATCCGTTCACTTGTCCGCAGAACCGGGCCATCTTCGCCGTGGGTTGTCCCCGTTGGTGGACCACAAGCCAAGGTCGACGCCGTTCTCTTCGGGGCACCGCCGCACGGCCTCGGCTGTTGCGTCGACGCGGTCCCAGTCGTCCCCATTGTGCTCCTCGACCTCTGCCATGCACCGATCGTTGCGAACGTCGTCGTGTGTCCACGAGAGTGTATTGCAGAAGGATGGCAGCAACATGGGTGGCCTCGACGAGTTGGGGGGCCGTGGGGGGGCGATGGGCTTGACACTGTTTCAGTCGATGATGGAGCCCCCTCCCACGGCAGCAATCCACCGAACGGAGGCGGCAAACCGAGCCTTGTACGACCGAATCGTACCTTACATGACCACGCCCGTGCTAGAAGACGTGAATCAAGTGCTGATCCAAGTTGTGTCTGCGTCGGGACTCAAGGCTGCGGCGCCCGCCGACGGCGGGTGGAGCAACCCGTACTGCATCGTCACGATGGCCCCGACAGCGAACGGTTCGACCGCCACGATCAGTTGTGGTGGACACCCTGGCCCATCCAGTCGCTTTGCCACGATCGCATCGTCCAAGCTCACGTTAGCCATGGCAAAGCGGATGGAGCAGCGCACATACTACATCGAGCGCACGATGGACCCGGTGTGGCGAGACCAAGTGTTTTTGTTCGAGAAAGCACACGGCCCCGACACCCCGTGCACTGTCCAAATCGACGTTCGGTCGCATTCACCGCTGGGAAAGCATGTTTTCCTGGGGCGCGCGGTCGTTGGCATTGACGGCGGCGCGCTAGCCAAACACGTCACGATCAAGTTGGTCGGAGCCAAGGCGCACCACGTCGTGACGGGTACAATCGACGTTGTGGTCGAGACAGCGCGCACGCAATCCCAACTCGTCGAGTACTGGTACCACCAATTGCGGCAGCGGGCTCAAGTCTTGAGCGCGCAGTTGGTGTACCTTCGATCGAGGGTACGCCAGATCGACATGGAGCGCGCGATGGAGCACAAGCGCAAGCTGAACGTGGCGGCCGAGCCCCACTCGAAGCAAGTCAAAGGGCGGACCAAGGCCAAGGCGCTGTTGCTCCAGAACAAAGATAAACTCGTCGCCCACAAGAACAAACTCAAGGACAAATGGACGCAGCAACTCCAGCAACTCCAGCACCCCATCCACATGAACGAGAAATTGGCGCATTTTCGGGACGTCGCCGAGAAGCGATGGCTCCAAGAAGTCAAGAAACTTCACAAAGCAAACGTCCGCACGAGCATCTTGCACGTCAAGCGGTTGTTTGCCAAGGATAGCACGTCGTCCGCCGGTGGTGCAAGTGCGGCTACCGGACGCGCTGCCAAGGTACCGACGGCCACGCGAGGCCATGCACGCCGACTCTTCATGTCGTTGGTCTAATGTCGTGTGATGGCAGGATCATGGCGGGCTCTCTTTCAAGGCATCCATGAACAAATTTCGCAGCGTCCACCACGTCAAGCCACACCAATCTGCCAATTCCAACACCGACTACGTCGACGAGATCAAGCGGTATGAAAACAAGTTGTGGCGCGCGCACGTCCGTCCGCCAAAATTCACCACCGCGTCCATTGGCGTGCGTAGGTGCTACCGCCGGCTCGTTCGTAGCGGAGGGAATGTCGTCGTGGGGGTGGCAGAAGGGCGGCACTTTGGTCGGCTCGGCGTCGACAAAGTCCACTGCGTCGTGCTGTGCCAAGACACGACCTTCGTCACACCCAAGGCCAAGGCGGAGGACGTGGTCATGTGGCCAGCGGGTACGGCGGGAGCGAGCCCTGTGCCAAAGGTACGCAATCTGGGTCTGTTTGCGTGGAATCGCCGCCGCCGTGTGTGATGTGCCTTGGGACTGTGATGGAGCCATGCCTGGCATTAGATTCCCCTTCGGCGGCACCGCGGGGAGTTGGTCGTGCATGTCGTGGGGACGTCGAAACGAGCGTCGACCGGGCGGATCGTCGGCCACGTTCGCGTGCCCATGGACGTTGCGCTCGACTACTGCGGCCGACACGGCGGGACATTCTCGACGTGGTTTCCGATAGCTCCCCTCGCCGACGCGGCGCCGTTGGAGCTCGATCTGCACAAACTCGTCCACCCCGTCGAGATGAAGCTCGGGTACTCGTCACCGCCGTCGTCCGCGCCTTGCATCCACCTCTCGATGACGTACGAGCCCGAGCAGTCGAGCTTTGTGCTGGGCCACGTCCGTTCGTATGTGAGTGTGGTTGTGGGCGAGCTGGCGCTGTCGTTGTCAGCTCCCGTCTCGGCCATGGACCACTCGAAAGACAACACGGTCGAGACCCATGAGATGCTTCGGATTTCGTTTGCTGGGATTGACGTGAAGTGCCTCACGTCGTCCAAGCAATGCCAGTGGACGGTCGACTTGGATTCGTTCCAGGTCGACAATCAGCGCAGCGCCGCTCTCAACCAGACGGACGTGCCCGTGATGGTGTCCCGCGCGAGCCACGAGATGGCGTGCGGTGGAACCGCCAAACCCGTCAAGCCTTTGCTCCAGGCCGTCGTGATCACCCATCCAAGAAAGGACCAGCAGCAGCACGTCGACACTTCTTCATCGTCTCGTCCGACCGGCGGGTCCCCGACCAACTCTACTGGCCGGCGAGGAGGACCCACCGGGTTGAGTACCGACACCGCGGCTCGCCACATCACCCACATTGAGCTCGTGGCCCTTTCAATCGACGAAACGGACTGGACATTTGACGAGGTCATGTTGCGGACATTGTACGATGTGTGCGAGCGGCTGTACGACAAGCACCAGCCCGTCTTTGGCAGTGCCATTGGCGCGGGGGCAAGTCCGGTCGGCGCAGTCGTCGCGCCGGCGATCGCAGGCATCGCGTCCGTGTATATTGCCCGTCTCGACGTCCGACCGTTCAAATGCAACGTCACGTTTCGAAAGTCGACGTCGTACGCGCCAACGACGGCCGCCGCGATGCCAAACACCCATCGCAAGGCCAAGTTTATGCATTCGTTTGTGGCGGCGATATTCAACCTTGCCAACACGATCGAGAACGCACCGCTCGAGTTTAACGCGCTGCGACTGGACCATGAAATAACAGACTTCCACCATGTACGTCGCGCGCGGCAAACGTCAGCGCCTGCCATGCGACGCGTACTTGAATCGGTGGGCTGACTTGTGCCGTGGCTGTCTCTAGCTCCAAGATCACGTGTTCCAGCACTACACGACCAATGTCCTGCGGCAGCTCTACAAACTCATTGGTACAGCGCATTCTATCGTCGGCCGTGGCGACATTCCGTTTGCCCTCATCCCACGACATGCTTCTTGGAGAAGGATGACGATGTGACGATGACTCGTAGGCTCGATGAACTTTATGGGGAACCCGGTGGGGCTTGCGGCGAACGTTGCCGGTGGGGTGCGCGACTTTGTCGTGCAGCCGTACGCGGGGTTGACGTCTGGGGGACCATCCGGGCTTGTCCGGGGACTTACAAAAGGCACTGCGTCTCTGCTGGGGCACACCGCGTTCGGTCTCTTTGATACGACGTCACGGATGACGGGCGCGATGGGAAACACGGTCGTGGCGTTCTCTCGGGATCGTGTGTTCAAAGCCAAGCGGAACGTGTACGCGCTGGCGCGGCCCACGACCCGTCGCGATCAGCTTCGTTTGGACATCCAGAAACTCAAGCACGACGTGTGCTCGGGTATCATCGGGGGGCTCACCGGCCTCGTTCTGGATCCGATACGAGGAGGCCGGCGGGGGGGCCTGCGGGGCTTTGCCGGAGGCGTGGCCCAAGGCCTGTCGGGCGTCCTTGTCAAGCCCGTCGTCGGCGCCATCGATTTGGCTACCCACGTCGTTGAAGGCGCGCGCGATGTTGCCGGGCTTGCCTTCGGAACGAAAAAGACGGCCTTCGATAAGCTACGAAAACGCATGTCCCATGTGTTTGGCGCCGACGGTCGATTACTGCCCCACGACGCGTCCGAGATATGGAGCACGGTACGTTGACAGGATGGGCATGCCGCCCGGGGTGACGCTCATGGCGTGCATGTTGTAAAGGCGGTTGTCGCCTACCTGCACGCCACATCGCGACAACAGCATGCCACGTCGGGTGTTCATAAGGTCACTGACATGGACCCGCCCATGCAACTCGTATGGGCGACGGCATTCAAGACAGACGTGGGCCGTGTGAGTCTGGTTGTGGTGCGAAAGTGCGAGTTGCTGTGCGCCGAGATATCGACGGCCAACTGGCAGCAGCCGCGGTTGCTGTGGCGCGTGCCGACGGATCGGGTCGCATTTGTCGAACGCGTGGCAGCCGTCCACTTGGCTGTGCACTTTCGACGGAGCGTCGAGGACCAAGCCCGGCCATTCAAAGTGGCCAAAACGACGCCCGCCAAGCGCGGCCTCCATCGCCCTCGGGCTGACAGCTGCCCGTCCCCCAAGCTGTGCAAAATCGACGGCAGCAGCAGCGAGACATGCAACAAGGACGACATCGATGACCTAGACACGGTCGAAGTGGTCGTCACGGCCGCATGGGAAGACGCGCGGCACTTCGAGCGCGACGCTGCCAAGATGGCTCAGCTCGTGGCGGTCTTGCGTCACCAGTATGCATTTGTAGGTTCCATCCGGGATGACGTGGACGGGGATGGCGACGACGCGTCCGAACGACGGACGAAATGGGTGGTCGACCCGCCGACGCTTCCATCGACCACGGCGCTGCAGCAGTTTGCATTCCAGCGCCTCCACGTAACGCAGGAAACACTCAAGACGCAGTACTGCGTCAATGACGAAGACCTAGCAAAGTTGGAGCGATGTCCATGGACTGAATTCGATGGCCACGACGCAGTCAGGTTGTGGGCTGGGTGTGCCGACCCACCTTCCAATGGTGCGTTGTCAGCTCCAGCAGGGGCCGATGCGAAGAAAGCAGGGGCGAAACCACGAGCCCCGTCTTTGGTCACGCCGGGCTCCACACGATGAATCGTCGAGCGATCGGCGGGAGGTAGTTGACAGCGTTTACGGGACGCGATAATGCCCACACAAGCGTTTGGTGCATGTCAACACGAATGGGTCGATTCGGTCCCTCCTCCGGCGCAGGTTCCTGCCTATCGACGTTCGATCGAGAGCTCCAAAACGCATGAGTGGCGAGGGCGTCGCCCGCGACGAAGTGGAAGAGGTAGAGCTCAACGGCGACGTCCCAACGCAAATGCCGGATGCTTTTACTGTTCGAACCATGCAGCCGCACGTTCTGCCCAATGCGTTGTTTGATGCCGTGACCATGTCAACCATGCTCCGTCCTTCTGGACTTGCTTCGTCGTAGCTTCGCCAAACGACGAAGCTGCTGATGGACAGTCAAGGCGCCTCACATACACCGCGCCCCGTCGCCACAGCCATGACGTCGCTGCCCCTTCACCGCCGCCTCGTTTATGCATTGCCAAATCGGCATGTCGTGGGCGTCCGACGTTAAAAATGCAGTCCGATGTTCCTAAACTTGGGAACATCGTCGTGGAAAGAACAGCTACCAACCCATTGTCCTTCTGACGGGGGAGAGGATCGAGCGGCCTCGGTACACGTTCGTTCGTGCCGTTCTCTCACGGCATCGTTGGATTCCGCAGACTTGTCGAGCCTGCGTATGCAAGACCATGGCAACGATGGCATCTACTTGACCAAGTATTGCACGAGTGCAAATCCTCGCTGTACGGTGGCTGCCACCAGTCGTGCCCACAATGACGTCAAAGCGGACGGTGGAGTCGCCGGCGACTCGACTGGCCGACGTTCGACGAGATCGACGTGGGCCGTGAGTTCGGCCTGCTCACGCTGGCGAGCTTGAGCTCGTCGCCACTTTGCTTCGCTGATCGCCATCATGACTGTACAGTTGGACGGGTTGACGAGGTGGGGGAGTGTCTCGGCCAGGTACAAGCACACATCATAGCGCTTGCACTCGGCTGCCGCTTCGATGGCGCGATGGGTGCACCCTTCCGTGCGGTTGGCGTAGAGGAACTGGACGATGTCGAGGTAGCCGCCGCACGCGGCCGAGTTGAATGCGCTGGTCGTCGCGCCTTCCGTCCGATGAACGTGCAAAAACTTGACGACGTCCAAGTGACCAAACGAGCAAGCGTTGTTCATGGCATACGTCGTGCAGCTCTCGGTCCGGTGCTCGTGGAGGAACTGCACCACGTCCAGGTGACCATACGTGGCCGCTTGGTCCATCGCCATCGTCGTGCAGCCTTCGGTGCGGTGAGTATGGAGGAACTGGACCACGTCCAAATGGCCAAACCACGCTGCCAAGTCCATGGCTTGGGTCGTGCACCCCTCGGTCCGATGGACATGGAGGAACTCCACGACATCCAAGTGCCCTCCCTGCGCCGCCCACTCCATCGTGAGCGGACAAAACTCGCCCGTTCCAGTCGTATGCAAGTACTCGATGATCGGCAGCGACCCGCGGAATGCCGCGATCGCGGTTGGATGGACGTACGTCGGGACATGGAGAACGGTAAACAGGTGGTGAAACAAGTCGACTTGGTGGTGCTGAATCGCCCAGTGAAGGAGAACAAGCGAGAGGGTGTCGGAGGTGCGGAGAAGGCGCGGGAGGTCTGCCGGGGTCCGCGTGGCATACCATGGGACGAAGATCGCCCCGAACGCTTCGAGCTGCAAGTGGAGGAAGGCAGGATCCCGTCGCAGGAGAAAGTTTGGGCACACGCTCGAATGCCGTGGGTTCGGGCCGCGGTTGATGTAGTGAGCCAGGACAAACTGGTGAAACGGATGCAGGTCGACCGGCCAACCTGTTTGAAAGACCGTGATCCCGCGAAACACGTGGCGGTCCGCCAGCACCGCTTGCATGGTCGGGCGCAATCGAATGTCGAAATGGCACGTCCGGATCGTCCTGCCCTCTGTCGATGCGCTGACAACTCATCCCCCGTCGAAGCGCTGCATTCATGACAACTCGAAAGTGGGACGAGGGGGTTCGTTCCGGTGGCGATCATGGGTGGTCCACGTGGCGTCCGACACGATGCTGGCGACGATTCGGTCGGCCATCTCATGGACGAGTACATGGCGAGAGCATGGGGTAGGACGCTGTACAACGTTATCGAAGTCAACGCGACGTGCCGTGAAAGGGATGGGCACAACGCGCTCCAGATACGTGCCCCTGAACGCGCTGTCCAACGTGCTGCATGTAGCTTACAGAGTCCGGTACGACTGACATCGACTGGCGCGTGGGGGCGGGTCGGTTATTGCCGAGGCAACCCCCAGCTGGTCGAGGCTGCCGCCAATTGTAGCCAACACAACGTTAGTGGTAGGTTCCATCGCTAGCTTGAACAACAAATCAAGCGATCGCGGCTGCATAGCAAGGTATTTGCTGAACAAGTTTGCGCCCGGCACGTTGCTGGAGATAGAATGTGGCATACACGGCAGGCTCGTGATGCAGTTCTGGCTGTAGCGTTCTCGAGTTATGCTCACACGCTTGCGTTTCGTTGTGGCCACGATGGCCCACGGCAGCAGGAAGCGGCGATCCCCGTGATGTTACTTTTATGCGCACTAAATTGCAAGGTTGCTGCAACTTAGCTCCGTGCGCCAAATCGCATGGCTGCCGCGATCTAGCTCCGGGCGGCAGGATTCAGGCTGGCTGCCGAAGTTACAACATGAAAACGCTGGTGCGGACGTGGACGTCGGGTTGGCTTCGGAGCCTCCAAATCGGCTCACGCCGTGACCTGTTCAGGAAAGCATGCCTCACGCTCCATGTACTTGTTCGAGCTGCACGTTGCTCGGACAACGCGTTCCACCAGTACAGATGTGACACCCAATGTATCGAGCTGAACGAGTCCATGCGCTGCTGCTTCCGTGGAGTATGCACGTGCAGCATTTCAATCATTGGACTTGCTGTTGAGTACACCTTTCCTGCGTTTTCGCGCTCGAGGACGAGCTAGTCGAGATGCACAATAATCTTGCACCACGAGTAAACTCGTCAAGGTGTTTATTGAACGGGACTCCATGGGCACACTCGGGCACCCGCAGCCCATGATCGGTGGCGCCGCAGGTCAAGATGAAGTTGAATTCGCCTTGTACGGCGGTCGGACTCCTGGGTCTTCCTATGGGGCGACTCATGCAGCGCCGCCAGGACGGCCACCGTCGTCACCACAACTGATATCGGACGCAAAATAGTGTTATCTTCATACCATCACACTAATTCACAATCAGTCGCGATGTCCGGATAAGACGTTTATATCCGTATTCGGTGGGTCTCCCTCCGCAATCGGACTACGGTAGATCAACTTGGCAGAAGATGGAAGTCGGGAGCCGCGTCCTCGTGGTCGGCGGGAAGACGGGCGTCGTCCGCTTCATGGGTACGACAGACTTTGCCCAAGGGGAATGGGTCGGTATTGAGTTGGACGGCCCGGACGGCAAGAACGACGGCGAAATCAATGGTGTGCGATACTTCACGTGTGAGCCGCTCTACGGCCTGTTTGCCAAGAAATCGCAAGTGCGGTTGGCGCGAGTGAGTCTTGGATACGGCGCAGCCAACCCCATGGCCACGTCGTCAACTACTAGCCGATTGCAGCAGATGCGCGACAAGCGGACGTCATCGTCTACCAACTTGATTCCGCCCTCCACGACGACAGGTGCTGCTGGGACCAAGAAAACAATCCCCAAAGTCGACTCGAGTCCCAAGCTTGTGTCATCAGCGTCGAGTGTTAAGTCCCCCACGGCAAACAAAGCATCAGCTCGGTTGTCGGGCGTGTTGTCGCCTACTGCAGCATCATCTGCATGCAAAGATGCCCCGAATACCGTTGATGCTGACATGATCACGTTGGAATTACAGGAAGCAAATGCCAAGATCAATGCGCTGCAGGCTGAGCTGGAAGCGAAAGCTGCACGCATCACAGACTTGGAAGCGGACATTGTTCAAGCAACGGCGCAACTCGCCGAGGCGACTGCCTCGATGGCGCTGCCTGCCACTGTGGCCGAGGGCACGCCTGCAGTCGCCATTCCACCGCCGATCGTCCACACCGAAGACAATCTTCCGACATCGCCACGAGCCATGTACGAAGAGAAACTACGGTCCCTCCGCGACGAGGGTATTGCTCTCGCCGCGAAAATGCGGCGTGACATGGAGATCACGGTGACCAAGATGGAAAAAGAATGGGAGGACAAGGAAGCGCACATGCTCGTAACTTTGGAAGCGGCAGAGGCGCGTGCCGCATCTCTGGAAAGCGAAGTCGTGGGTTTGCGCTCTCGAAACTCGGCGCTCGTTGCCGCCGAACATGCCCGCGCCGAGGAGGTGGCGCAGTGGACGGCAAAGCTCGGGGTCGTCCATCGCAAAGTGGAGGCGCAGGCGGCGACGATTGCCGACCTCCAGGACGTTGTCGAGCTGCTCACGCTGGAGAAGGAAACATTGGCGATGGACAAAGAAATTGCAGAAGAACGGATCGACGAACTGGAAGCGCAAGCCGCGACCGCCGCAATCGTCCAGCAGAATGCGTTTTCCACCACAGCAGCGTCGTCGTTTACCGACGGAAGCGCGTCCGCCGTCCAAGAAGAGAACGCAAAATTGCGCCAAGCATTGCTGGCCATGCACGAGCGATACACGGATGAAAAATCCACCTTGACGAAGGAGCTGAGAGACGCCACTAAGCTCGTGAACGAACTGTCTCGGTACCGCGACGAAGTCGAGAATGTGAATGCCAAGTACACGGCTGCGACCGCCGCGATCGAAGAGCTCAAGGAGAGTTTGGACATGGCCAGTGCGTACGAATCGATGGTGGAGACGTTGACCGAGACCAACTTGGCGTTGGGTGACGAGGTAGCTGACTTGAAGACGTCGGTTGCGTCGCTCGAGTCGCTCAAGGAAATGAGCGACGAAATGGAGCACCAGCATGACATGTTGGCGAAGGCGCTGCAGGAAGAGCTGGGCGCGGCCAAGCAAAAGGTGGCGGACCTCACCGCCGCCGCCGCCATCGCTGCCACTACGATTGAAGACAAAGACCGCACGATTTTGCGGTTCCGCGACGTCGTTGCCCGCCACCGCGACGAAGTTGCAGCATTGCGCGAAAAACTCCGCATGGAAGCTGGCGAACTCGAAAGCATGAAGGACACTACCCAGAGCATCATGTCGCAATCGATGCAGCTCCGTCAAGCGTTGCAAGCGGCGCAAGCCAGCAACATGGACGCCAACCGACAGAAACTCGCCGCTCAGGAAATGGCGCTAGAGCACGACTGGTGGCAAACTCTTGTGCCGATCGGCGTGCTGCAGGACGCTGATCGCCGCCAGTTGGCTGTGCGCAAGATGGCCCTTCGTGTGACGACCAAGAGTTGCTGGCTCTTGGAAATGCTGGCACCGGCCGTCCTGGAGCCACGTTCGTCAAGCACAACCACATACGCCACCGAAGGCGACGTCGCAGAAGCCTCAGAGAAGGCCCAACCTGCAAGCAACCACAGCCACGAAGCGGCGACTGCGCTCGCGTTGTGGAAACTGCGGCAAGGAATGAGCCACGTCACACGGCAACTGCACGCTACCACGGTCGACACCAAGTGGCAAGAGTTGCTGCTGTTGCTGGACAACTCATGGGCTCAAGTCGATGCGTTGCTCGATGCCGCGTTGCAAGAGTGGGCAGCAGAAGGGGCGTTAAGTCCTGGACACGACCTGCAGCCAGGGGTCGGCGCCCGCCTTGTCCATGCCGTCCACGAGTGGCTGCGGCTCGTCGGACCCAAGTTGGAGCCGCTAAGTGCTGTCAACGCCGTCACGGTTGGCAGCGTCAAGTTGGTCTTGCAATCGCAATCGTTTCAATTGGCGTTGCAATGCACGGCATTGGGAGACGATGGGCTGCGCGCCGCTGTGTGGCAGCTCTACTCGCGTGTGGCCGCCGAGCTCAAGGATGCCACGTCCCCCGACGTGCTCGACAACGGCACTACCCACGACGACGTCCCGCTGGGTGCCAACCACACGTTGGTCGATCAATTGAATGTGTTGGTTGCGTACAGCAAGTCGGTCACGTCGATCCCGCCCTTTATTGAACGCGTCAACGAGTGGACAAAACAAGTTACCAAGGGCGGGCTGTTGGATGCATTGGCCGTTGATCCAAAGCGTCCCGACAAGCCGGTGCTCGTGCCATTGCACGAGTTGCGCGCAGAGCATATTCGCACCGACCTGGCCCATGCGGCGTCGTTGCTCGCGGCCATCGAAGAAACGACGGAAGTGTGCCACAAACTCCAAACCCGCGTCAAAGAAATGGAAAAGGCCGACAGTCATGCCCGGATGGTCATTGCAAAGCACGAAGCCGACATCGCTCGCCTCGACTCTGAACGCCTCGGCCAAGTCGAGATGGCTCGGAAGCTCGCCGACCAACTCGAAACCGAACGAGCCCAATGCGACGCGTTGCTCACGGAGCAGCACAAGGAACGCGCGGCACTCGAATCCGCCAACCGTTCCCTTCGCAAGTCGCTGCGCCGTGTCAGTGACTTGAATGTCAAAACAAGTCCGTCACAGGACGCGAGCACCGCCGATCCTGCGTGTTCCAGTGCGGTGGCTCAGCCAAATAACACCGCCAGCAACAAGGCGTTGCACGTGCTACACGAGCAGCTTCTCGCTGCTCGAATCGAGTTGGCATTGGCGCGGCTTCCACCTGTCAACGTGCCCAAGCGGTTGGAGTCATCGGGGCACGAAAACGCTGGATTGACTGCTTGTTCCATGGAGGTCGCCGCACTGACGACCAAGGTGTTGACGCTCAGTGCCTTGCCCGAGTTGGTCGATCTCTCCAAGACCAACTGTACCAACGACGACGTCAAGGTGGCCCAATTGCTCCGGGAATGCCATGCTGTCAAGGCCAAGGTGTCTGAAACACTGGCGGGCATGCATGCCGATGTTGGCGCTGCTGTCCGCGGGGGCGAAGTGTTCTTCACAGGGCGCAGCTGCGACCCTCGGCCTCAAGACCACGCGTTTCAAACCAAGAACCCGGTCGGTCGACTCTGGTTCGCTGGCCATGGCACGGATGGACATTCGATCCGAGGGGGGCGCGTCGTCCCGGTCGTGCTCAATGCGGCCGAGATGCGCCTCTTGTCGAGGGCGATTACCCTGGCGTAAGAGGATCCTTTGCACCAGTGAACAGTGCATTTTTGTGGATTTTAACGTCGACGCATGGAGCTGGCCGTCGAGGAAGGCACGAGGGGGGCTGGCACAGGGTGGTGTTGTGAGGAGACGATTGGAGAAGTATCATTGGTGGAAAAGAGGATTGAAATGCGTTCATTTTAAATGTTTTTAGCCAGTGAGATTCAAGCTTGTGTCAATTGCCTTCGATGCTTGTGGCGCGGCAATGGCTGGCGGGTCGACGAATGCTGTCCCAAGTCACACAACAGACGCTCTACCTCCACATATCTCCATGCGGCGACTGGTGGACTGGAAGCAGCATGTATGCAGCGAAACATCTCTCGTCCGACTACGTCAAGTCGCTGCCTCTGCCTGACCCATTCGAAGAGTCGGTGCTTGCCGCCCTCTCGGACAAGGCCTTTCAGCACATGTATGATACTGGAACCCTCGACCCCACACTCGTACATCCCGCCGTAGAGTCTGCTAGCGACGGGAAGTCGGATTAATGCATCCATGTCTGGAATCGCATGCATGATATACCACAACACACTGCAATACCATGTGCTGTGATGACTCTCCCTCTGGCTCGTACTCGTACCATGACGAGGGCAAACAGGGATCTAGCACGACGAGGCGTAACGACAAGCCTTTCATGCGCGTGTATGTAAGCTGGGTCAACAGGATGATTCATGCCCCGACGATTCAAGTCGTGAGCGGCACGCCATTCGACGACTTGTATCCGTGGGTCAAGCAGTTAAACAAGGACTGCTCGCCGTCCTGCAAGCACCGACGGAACACAACGTCGTCCATGTGGTGGAACAGAAAATCTATACTTCAGTGGTTTTGGCCTTTTTCGCACGCGACGGCTGCACTATCTCGTTCGACGTGTCCACAGCCACTGCGCCGTCACCGGTCGAGCGGGACGATTCCACCGCTTGGAGGGTGGGGCCGGCGGCCTTCTTCACCCAGCCGGCGTGCACAAAGAAATCGTAAATGGTCCCGGTCTTGGTCGCATCTACACACATTGGTGCGCCACCCGCGTCAGGTTGCATGCACGAGCGAGCACAACTGTCGCGGTCGTACCAATTTTCACGATTTTCTGCGCCGCGGTTGGGTCCAAGTGGCCCAGCCGAAAGCTTTCTCGAACCAACGCTTCCTTGATCACCAAATATTGCTACGGCCAAAATCATGCGATGGTTTTCTGCCGTGCCAACGTACCTTTGGCAGCAATTGCATTTTCAAGCACAACTCCTTTTCGGATGGAGTCAGCAAATGGGCACCAGGGGCGCCGTCGAGTGCGAGGCATGCTTTATCGTTTGGGGTATTCCCGTCACCTCCTACGGACACGATCAGACCATCCCTCGAAAACACACCCAACGGCGCGTACTTGCATTGGCGCCGTCTTGCCCGCGACTGAGCCATCGGCTGTGGCGCTTGGCCGAGTTTCCTTTCGATTCGTACAAATACGATGCACTACGTGCGCACCCAACACGGAATGAATATTCACACAGTCGCATGTAGTTGGCCACAATCGAGACAAACGCCGGGGCGACATGCAGGATTCGCATCGGTTCTCAAAAAGATGTCACGATCAAACCTGTCGACCCCACCGCGGCCAACAAACCATTTCACGGGACTGCCATAGACGAATGTGTTTCCAACCGACCATGACAAGTTTGATGCAAAATATATATCGTCATCCAAAGGAACGACACGTCCAACGAATGGAATTATACCGCCCTGCGGACACATACCTCTCGCGGGACTTTTGCAGCGCCTGGTCGACTTCGCGTTTTCGCTTGTCTTGTTCGTACAACTCGGCTTCAGCCAGCGTGCGGATGCCATGGCGACGGTACTCTTGGAGCAGCGCAATTTGCTTTCTCAACCGCATCGCGGCGACTAGCCCACCGACAAGGGCATCGTGTTCTTCTTTGGAATGAAACCTGGCAAACGGCCGAAGTTGCATGACCAGTTCCCGCTCGTCCTTGGGCCGGCGGCGTTCGTTTTGCTGGTACTTTTTGTAGTCTAGCAACTGGTGCTCGATCACAAATTTTTTGCGCCGCTCGCGCTCGTCGAGCTTGGCGTTGTAGATGGCGATAACTTTCAACTTGAGTTCGCGTTCGGTCGGGTGGTCGTCCTCGGAAAACTCCATGTCGGCAAGGATGAGTTCGGCATCGTTGTCGTGCTCAACATCAAAGTCTCCACGTAGCGGCATGTACCCCGCCAACGCACTGCCCATCTTTTCTTTGTCGTCGTCTGCGGCGTTCGTGGCAGCATTGGAACGGGACTGCTTTTCAGGTGAGTCGGGCGTCATCGACAGCTTCAAGTAGTTGACCACGTAGTGCGATTCGCACTTTTTGTCTGTCTTGGTACCGACATGCTCGGCAATATCCTTCCAGTTCCCCATGCCAAACATCTCGATCCCCTCCAAGAGCAACAGCTCCTCGTCAGCAGTCCACTCGCTGTCGAGAATGGAAAACGATAAGCAATCCGACACCATGTACGAGTGGTTCTTGCGGTGTCCTGGCACGCCAGGTACTTCCTCCACCCCCGAAGAGAAACATTCAATGCACAGGACGACCGGCCCTTTCTCGGACGGTGTCACAGGACATTCCGCACACGTAATGCGAATCATCCGGGTCAAGTCCCGCGTGCAATGCATGCATGTGACCTATCGCAGAAAATGAATCAGTTCAATGCACCATTGTATCGCACTCACCTTTTCCTTTGTCTCTCCCATGGTGCGCAACGTTGTCGGCGGCGCCGGTGCTGGACAAGATCCGCGGCAAAGTCGAATTGCACGGGAAATATCGACCCAGAGGAATTTTATCCAATCAAAGCGCGATCAATTATATTTTTATCCAATCCGACTTTAGGTGTTTTCGCTCCAAAATATTATCCGGCGAATTATCCGAACGCTAGGAATCACACTGCTGACGAGGAAGCTGGAAGCAAAGGATGCCTCCACCCCAACTGGAGCCACCACGACAGCGAGAATGCCGTCGCACTCGGGAGGAACGTAAGGTGCATTACGACAGCGCCATCTCATTATTCGCATAGCATTCGCTCGCTCGCCTCGCAACTTTGTTTCGAATCGGTTTTTCCACACGTCTGCTCAAGCGCCAAGACTCCTATCGACGCAGCCTTAGCTACAAATCTGCATGGATAAGCTTCTTGGCGCTGCAATGAGCATGAGCGCAACTTGCAACCCGATTCGAGGGAATTGGGTCCATAGCTCAAACCTCCGAGTCGTTTCGACGCCTAACACTAATGTGTAGTGAATCGATGGATGCGATGGAACTGGAGATGGCTCGAGTGGTGCTTCTATATCTAATGTGTCATGTTACTGCTGCTTCGCATCGCTTTTGCCTGGTGGTGGCGTAGTCGCCGGATGGTCTTTAAGCAGTGCTTCCTTGGCCCGGTAGATCTTCGACTGAAGGTAGTACGACCCACCGCCATCCTTAGACGGCTCGTTGGCTTTGAAATATCGATCGAACTGCTTTTCAATGTCCGCAATCGATGGCACACCCTGTAGGTTGAGCACTTCCAACGCTTGTTCCTTCGACATCTTGTTCTTCAACGAGACTGTCGCCGTCTCGACAGTCTTTCCGTTCTTGGCATTTACCACGGCTTGTTGGTACGCTTGCACGAACGCCTTGGACACGACGCCGGCACCGGCCACCACAATGTTCGCGATCAAGCGTGCGATCTGCCCCGACATCGTCCCGTTTTTTCCTGACCAACAAGAGTAAGCTCTGAATGCAACCCCAAATAGTGTTCGTTGACCATCCATAATATATTGTTTACTGTAATGCAGATATTATTTTCTTGAAGAGCATCCTGACACTATTCATATCCTTCGGCAAAGTTCGTTTTCGTCGAATCGTCGAATCGAATTAGTGTGATTGTCACACTAAATCTGCGTGTGGTTTTGCTGATATACCTAGTAATACTAACATCGCTGAAAAATTGTCCGAAAATCACAACTCCATCCTGCACCTCCCAACTCGAGCATGCTCTCCGTACTATGCTTGGTCATTTTGGCCACCTACACGTAGGCGGCGAGAGGCTCAGACTGGGAGGTAACTTGATTTGATTATTGAAAAGCTGCCTTGTTTCGGGGTTTCAAAGGCGTGAGAAAAAAATGTCGTCGAGCTCAACAAAATACTTGCTGGAAAAACGCAAATCTGTTTATGCCAGGTCACACCTCTTTAAGCCATGCGCGGTTACCAGATATCATGCGGCTCTTGGTCAACAAGAAACCACTGATTTTGGTGGAAGTGTTGGATGACGGGACTCGAAGCTTGTAGCAACAAACACGCAACGGAAATCGAATTCGAATGTTTTGGCGGGGTCCGTTTTTTCTATTTTAACCTTCGGGAAGAGGCGTTTAACCTATTTAACGTGTTTTCGTCGCCAATGTCGATGCCACCCTTGCACAACCCGCCTACGTGCCATACTCGTTAAGATGCCCCTCGGCAAGCTCTTTGGCGGACTGTTCAAGAAGAAGGACTCGACGGTCGCGGAACCTGCTGCCTTGCCGGTACCGGCACCCCGCGTCGTTGTGGCCGCTCCATTACCCCCGCGGCCGGCGACCTCCAACAACCATGCGGACGAGAAATCCACGGCCGACGATGGTGACCTGTCCCCACAGCCACCTGGCCTTGGGTTTTCTGGTGAGTACGAGTTCATCAAAGAGCTTGGGAAGGGTGCAACGGCAGTCGTCAAGCTGTGCCGTCGGTTGCACCCGAACGCAGAGAATCAAGCGGAGGACGAATTCGACAACTTGGTGGCGTTGAAGGAGTTCAAAACGTCGCTCCTCAAGAAGATCAAGGAATTCAAACGCGAAGGACGGCGCATGGTACGACGGCGTCACCAAGGACGTTTATGTTTCATGGTTCGGTACACTAGGTGGTGTCGACTGCCCTGGACAAAGTCCAAGTCGAGATCGCCATCATGAAGAAGCTGTCGCACCCCAACTTGGTGTCGCTCGACGCCGTTCTTGACGACGGCAGCGAACTCCTCGTTCTTGTCTTGGAATACGCTCCCTTTGGCCAAGTCATGGTCTGGGACGGCGACGAACAGACTTACCGCCCCATGCTCGATCCCAAGATATTGAGTTACTTTCCCGCCGCTCCCGCACATCCCGTGCAGTACGCGCCGAACGGTTTCCCCGAGCACCTCGCGCGCATGTTCTTTCGCGAGCTCGTCGACGGGCTCGAATACCTCCACACGAACAGCATTTGCCACCGGTAAGTCGACGGCCATTGCGGGTCACAGCACTAGTCGTCGAGCCCCTTCTTTCTTTGTTGCTCCATTTGGGGTTATTCGAGTCGTGATGCTTGCGCTGCTTGATCTTGGCCGTGATGTATATCTTTGGTGGAGCATCCCCCCCCCGAACGTGGACTCTATTCACGCTTCCCTGTGGCATGTCAGTGATCTCAAGCCCGAGAACATTCTCGTGGGCAAGCATGGGGTGGTCAAGATCGCCGACTTTGGTGTTGCCCACTTCTTCGACGACTCGACCAACGCTAACGCGCCCGTGGATAACAATGCGACCGAGGCGACTTCGAGCAAAGGCTTTGTGACCAACTCGGCTGGAACGTATGCGTACATGCCGCCCGAGTCGCTTGTGTCGGTAGGTCTAGGCAATTCTTGTCGCTTCAACTGTATCTAGCATCACGAAACAACGACCTAGGCGCCATACAGCGCCTTTGTCGCCGACATCTGGGCCCTCGGTGTCACGTTGTACGCGCTCCTGTTTGGCAAATTGCCGTACTTTTCTTCCGACGTGACCGAGCTCTTTGACATGATTCAAACGGTGCCGGTCGTCGTACCGGAGGCGGCTTCCCCTGAGCTTCACGAGTTGCTCCTTGGATTGCTCGAGAAGGACCCGACCAAGCGCTTCAAGTTTAACCAGATCCGAGTGCATCCGTGGGTTATCCAAGACCTGGGCGCTGACGCCGTCGCAGCGTTCCAATCCCGCAGCCACGACGCCGTCGAGATCTCGGACCATGACGTCGAGCATGCATTGACCAAGATCTCGTCCGTGTCGACCATCACGACCATGAAACTCCGCGGCAAGAAATGGGCGATGAAGGCGCGCCAAAAGACCCTCGAGCGGAATGCGTCCTCCACGAGCGTCCGCAGCGACACGAGCGACCCTCCCACCGATAACATTCAAGCGGCTTAGACATCATCATTCCCCTATTTTAATGTGACACATCGGATTTGGTGCTGTTGTGGGTGGAGCCTCAACAAGTCGCCACCACGAGGTCGTGCGCCTGCGAGTACCTGTCCTCTCTTCTCGTGGACGTAGTACGAAACCAAGACCATGCCGTTCCTTGCTACCCCCTCCCAAGATGGAATGCGTGGTCCTCCCACAAGCACTTCAAGGCGAACCAAGTATGGTGCTGCATGAGACGCCCACGAGACGGTGATATGATCGTGCATGATGACAGGATGCCGTCGCTACGCATCCTCGTTGTTGACTCTGCTGAGATAAGGTCGTTCATCTGCCGCAATCTCTGCTCAATCAACCTAATTGAGCATCCACACGACGACATCACGTTCGTCCCGGATTGTCATGAAATTGTGAAGGGAACGAGCCAACTTCTCATGGCGCACATCTACTTTGGATCGTCAAGCAAGTCGGATTCCATCCCGCACACCGTGCGTGGATGCATGTACGGCGGCTGTTTTGTTGTCGATCGCACGCCGGATGCACATTTTGTTGTGACACTTGATTGGTCCATTTCAAACGTTGATTCAATTTGGAGTATTTTCTAACATTCACCACATATCTCCTGAAAGGTCCCAAATTTCGCCTCAATTTCCCAGGAATCCCGACAAGATTCGCCGATTCACCGAATTTGTTATGAATTCTTGATGCCTCTCGTTGGTCGCAAAATTCCTTACAATTGCACGACCGACGACCACAGTGTGCTCGCTCGTTGCCGCACTCTGACTTTCGACGCGGATCATGCTGCTGCGAACGACATGGCTGGCTGGTACGCGCACTCCTCAGTGAACATGATGCATCTCCCTCCGATCTCACCCAACGCTATGTCCAGTTGTGGTGCTGCTGGTCGCGTCGTCACCCGCTGTTAAGAAAGGCACGTTCCCTGCCCTCGACAAGAAGAACCCTGTGTGCACGTTCGCCGTCGACAAGATCCGAATCAAAGGCGACCCTGAGTCTGACGCGCCCAAGTTTTACAAGAAGAGTAAGGCGTGTAAAGGACCACAGGGGTATGCGATCCAGGATTGTCAACTCAAACAATGCCAGTGCAGAAAGTTCCACACCCACGTGGACGCGTCGACCCAAGTGGTCACGACATGGGCCGAGTGTCAACCCACGAAGAAGGACAGCACCGAGTGTGTCGGTGCCGACATGCGCTATTGCGAGAACCTACTTCGCGGCAAGGATCCGTTGAGCAAGTCAGCTGCCGGGGCATCCAAGAATGGCCGCAACACGACAGACGGCGAATCCTCGTCCAAGTCTTCGCATTCTTCTGCCAAGCAGTCCAAGTCTCTCAGCAGTAGTGGCACCAACTCCGCATCGTCGCTCAACACGGCTCCAAGCGACAAGAACGCTAAAAATGCCAAAGACGCAGGAAGCTTCCCTGTGGTTGCCGTCGTGCTAGCCAGCGTCGGCGTCATTCTCGCTATCGTGGGGGGTACGTGGCTCGTCGTGTCCAAGAAGAAAAAACCAAACACGTCTGCCTTGAACGGCGGTTCTGGAGGCGCGGCCAAGGATCCGCAGGGCCTCGAATTCGATGACTTTGACGACGACGACCACAACCACAAGGACCTGTACACCGATGCCAAGTCGACTTCCGCCGCAGTTCACACAGTCGCCGTTCCGGCGCCGCCCGCCCGCCGCCACTCGAGCGGCTCCATCTCATCCGTTTCGTCCAGCGACGACGATGACGACGACGACAAGCACGACGCCGAGCACGATGACACGTGGACTGCGTACAGTAAAAAGTAATTTACATGGGTGTCCATGTCGTGTCGATATCTGTGTCCGCTTTTGCAAAACACGCGAGACGACTTTTCGTTTGGCAGTGTCATGCTGCTGCCACGTCATTGTGAACTGGGCAACCACAACGATTCATTGGATATCCGAGAGCGCACCGACAACGTCGATACTGGTGCGAACGTGGCTCGACTACGAATTGCAGCGCACCTCGAGTTGCTTGGCAGCTTGCTATTGCCTACTCTCGATGGCTGCGTGGCGATGTTGCTTGGTGGACATGGCTCATGAAGGGATCGTACATGTGAGGAACTAGCCTTGCCAAACTCATAGCTGAAATGTTGTGTTTGAGGTTGCATGCGTGAATATCCAAGCATCGTTTGAGACTGCATAACAGCGGCGCGACTTCTTGGTAAGGCACAGAGCCATCACGACCAAGCAGGTTGTTATCGTATAGCGTGTCTGGCCGCCGTTCCAGTGGGAGAATCGGGTAAAATTTTCGCCCGATTCCACGATGCACATTCCAAGACATGCTTGTTCACCACCTAATCTAGCACACCCAACACCGCATATGGGCCTTCTGTATTGCGGTTCACGTCCTTCCTGGCCCATACCATCACACGTCTGGTTTGAGTCGTCCTTTGAACGCTGCGCCCACCGACGCCACTTGCGTACCGCTGGCGTCCGCGTCGCGGCATCGACGATTGAAATTTTGTTTGCGTTCCAGCGACAGTGTTGTCGCTATGTCGTCCTAATGAACCAATCAAAACATTGCCTATCAATTTTCAGAGTGTGGATTGGTCCATTTCGTTCCCATCTTGCCCTGCAACTCCTCCCCTTCCGCCAATCAAATGCACGCAATCCCCACATTTGACGCCGATTGGTCCGTCGAGTAGCAAATCCAATGCATTTGTAGTCTCGTCCCAATAAAGTTTGCTTTGGATCCAGCACTTAGCAGGGATTTCCTCTGTGGTGGCAGCTAAACTCGACCGTTTGTAAGTACAGTTAAACCTATTTTCAATATAGATAAATAAATACGCATTATTACGACCTGATTAATCGAAATTGCATTACAGTGCAGAAGCGAAGGTCGAAGGTACGGTTGCGAACGGGACGCTATGGCATCAATGCGAAGGCCCGCGGATTGCTCGCATCCCACGGCTCGTGCAAGCAAGCAAAGCCGGCCTGTGGTGTTCAGTGAATAGAGAATCAAGACAGGATGGAGGCGGCTGCGCGGATTTCACTTGTGCCGTGCGGCCGTTGTTCCCTGCTATGGATTGTGAGTTGCGTCCGCACGACGTCGCACTTAATTGGATTCATTCCACGTCGTGGGGTTGCTGACGAAGTCGCCCGTGCCGCCTTTGCATTGACCGGGCGTGTGGTCACGACCTATTCATTCTCGAATTCTCCTTCAACATGCAAGTTCCGTTGATTGTGTCTGCCTTGGTGGCCGCCGCTGCCGCTGATTTGGCGTGCGTTGCCGAGTACGGCCTGTGCGACACTGGCGCCCCCTGCTGCAATGCAAACAGCACGTGCCATCGCTTCGACGACAACGTGGCCCAGTGCTTACCTGCATCGCACCAAGTCAAGAATACCCACGAGCGCGCCGCATCCGGTGAAGCGAAGCGAGTCTGCGCCACGACGTGGAGCCAATGCGACGGCCAGAACTGGCCCAACGGTGTGTGCTGTATCAGCCCGAACGACCGTTGTGTCAAGCACAACGACTACTACTCGCAATGCATCCCCATGTCGTCGACGACGTCCGTGCCCACGCAGGCCAACGCGCGGTGCAGCGAAAACTGGAGCCAGTGCAACGGCCAAAACTGGCCCAACGGCGTGTGCTGCAAGGATCCTTTGTTCCAATGCAACTTCAAGAACCAGTACCTGTCGCTGTGCGAGCCCAAGCGGGCTGCGAAGGCGGCGGAAGCGTCGTGCACCAACGTAAGTGTCGTGGGTGATGCCACATACTGCGTAAAAGGCGCCATCTGCGGCGACGAAGGTGACGTATGTCCCAAGAAGGGAGACACTGCCGTCGGCGATTGTATCTCAACTCTCATGAGCTACGTCGGTGCCACGTCGAGCTGCGTCGCCCCAGCCGACGCGACTTGCCAGAAGATTCCCAGTGGCGCCCGTGGATGTGTGTTTGGTTC